GGAGGAGGAGGAGGAGGAGGAGAGGGAGCCGAACGACCATTTAAAGCGATAGCAATCCCTGCCCTCTCCCCAGTGCTGGGCTGGTTTGGCGAGCCCCAGCGAGCTGAGCAGCGCCCGCGCGCGAGCGAGCAAGCGCGCCGTGCGCTGGCCCGAGGGGGGGGAACCGAACCAAGATCGCTCAGGCGCCCCAGGCTGGCAGGAGCTACGGAGGGGGACCCCATCACACACGCCCTCTCTCCAGCTGCCCCTCCTCGGGTACCTCCCTCCCCCCACCCCCAACCGATCTTGCACGGCACAAAGTCCCACCCCGGGCTTCCCCCTAGAAAGAGCTCACCTCCAGGAGTTCCGGACCTAAGCGAGCTCACAGGTCCCCTTCCCGGGGCCGCTGCCGCCGCCGCAGCCGCAGCCCGGGCAGCATGGTCCAGCTCCGCGTCCTGACTTTGATGAACTTCCCCTGCTGCGTCCTGGAGGTGCTGCTGTGCGCGCTGGCGGCGGCGGCGCGCGGCCAGGAGATGTACGCCCCGCACTCCATCCGGATCGAGGGGGACGTCACCCTCGGGGGGCTGTTCCCCGTGCACGCCAAGGGTCCCAGCGGAGTGCCCTGCGGGGACATCAAGAGGGAGAACGGGATCCACAGGCTGGAAGCGATGCTGTACGCCCTGGATCAGATCAACAGCGATCCCAACCTGCTGCCCAACGTGACGCTGGGCGCGCGGATCCTGGACACTTGTTCCAGGGACACTTATGCGCTCGAACAGTCGCTCACTTTCGTCCAGGCGCTCATCCAGAAGGACACCTCCGATGTGCGCTGCACCAACGGTGAACCCCCGGTTTTCGTCAAGCCGGAGAAAGTAGTTGGAGTGATCGGGGCTTCGGGGAGTTCCGTCTCCATCATGGTAGCCAACATCTTGAGGCTTTTCCAGGTAGGGTTGTATTTTCTCCCCCTTTTCCCTCCCCTAGTGTGGCTCCCCAGATGGTCTTTAAGGCTGGTGTAGACTCCCGGGGAGGGGTACCCTGAGTTCGGATCAGCCAGCTTCCCGGTCCGCATTTCCACCCTGGAGATCCTGCCCAATTCCTCCCACCCCACCCAAGGCGCCCTTCTTTCCCAGCTTCTAGTTGGTTCCTCTTGTATCTCTTCCCCCACCACACACCCCTACCCCACTCCCCCAAGCTCCACTCCTTTCTACCTGACACCAGGCATTTATGACCCCATTTACCAGAAGCAATCTGCGAAAAACAAGGCGATGATTTAAATAGGTTTGCATTAGAGTGAAATATGGTGTGCAAACAGGCTTATAAAATAAGTGCCTCTAGGCTTCCGGGGAGGGAGAGCAGGCTGGTGCCTGGACCGTGGAAAACCAGATGAAAAGATATTTTGGAACTGGGTATTTCCCAAGCCCCCCTCCTCCTCCGGCGGCTCCCCACACCAAAGGCACCTGGGAAACCTCCACTCCTTGGAAACATTTCCAGAAGACCTTAGCCTCTGTCACTTCTTCCACTGAGAGCTTGATATTATTATTATTTTAACCTAGATCGGGACATTCGTGTTGCCTCTTTCCTTCGGGTTGGGTTTCTGACCTGTAGAGATCCTGGGGGGGGGCGGGAAGGGCAGGAGGACCCTCCCAAGGTGGGGCACAGTGACTTGATTCCCCCCCCCAGGTGGTGGATGGCTCTAAATTGCATTTGGCTCCAGTTTTCTCTGCCGCTCCAGCCGCCCTCCTCTCAGCCCTGAGATGAGCTCATGCGAACTGCACAACCAAATTGCTTTCCCTGCCTCCTCCCTAGCCCGCTCTCCCTCCTGCGATCCCCCATCCCAGTGGTGACTCCGGGCTGAGAGGCTTGATTCTGAGCCTAGGAGAAGATCGGCCGCCCCCCTCACCCCTGCCGCTGGGCAGTGGGTGTGTGTGTGTGCTGAGCTGGGGTCAGGGTGGGGGGCGATTGCAAAGATAGGCGGATCGGGACTTGGGGAGCCAGCGGTGGGTTCTGCTGCGGCGCTCTCTTGCCTTGGTTCATGCGCCTGTGCTGCACTGAATAGAAATGGATAGCTTTGGGGGCTCTGAAATTGAGTTTCCTTCTCCCAGTCTCTCCCTTATGGGTGCTTCTCTCTCTTGTCAGCTTGGCTCTGTTTTTCTTTCTTGTCCTTTTTGTAAACTCCACTCTCCCTGGTAGCACCCTCGGCCTTCCCCCCTCTTTCTTCCCGGCCCCCTAAGTTCTTGATTCCTCTGTTCTGCCTGGAGATGACCCTTTCCCAAGGGAAGGTCTGGGTGGAGGTAGCCCAAACCGCATGCATCTCCCGTCCAGTGGTGCGAGGTGATCCTGATGCTGCTGCCCACCGCTGGAGAACCTGCTTCTCCTAAGGGGTGGATTTCAGGAAGGCACTGCCTGTGAGCGCCTGAGGCAGGTACCCCAGCACCACCAAGAGTGCAAAGTTTATGTTCAAGCAGGAGGGGAGCACATCCAAGGCTATATAGCCCCTAGTCCCTCCCCTGCCCCCCATCTTGTCTCCCTGACTCCTGCTGAGGCAGCATGCCTAGAGCTAGGTAGATCTTTGCAACCCACGAAGTGCTTTGGAGGCAGACTTCCCACCGAACTGGGGATTTTGTAATCAAAACTCAGAAGCAATCCTTTCTTCTTTGAGCCTACAGCGGGACAACTTGAGGGGATTTTCTGTAGAGAAGATGAGCTCAGACTCAGCGCCCTGAGAACCTCTGTGTGTGTGTGTGTGTGTGTGTGTGTGTGTGTGTGTGTGCAGTGTGCAGCCAGAGAGGAGCTAGTGTTTCCCACTGAGCCCTAGGAGGCACACCATGGGTTTAGAATTTAAAAATTATTCAGCTGCCTATTTCTCTCTTCACTCACAGCCTTGACATGACTGCAGATAGATAGGCCTGCTTGTCTTTAAAAAAATGTTGAACTCAAGAAAGCCATTACAGATTAGGTTAGAAACTGTGTTTGCTGAATGTGATTTCAGGGGAGGAGGATTCTCCTTCTAGTGCCTGAATCTCAGTCAACTTACAAGGAAACAAATGGCTGATCTTACACTCGTTCCCTGGTTCCCTGAGCTAGAGAGGAAAGGAAGAGCAGAATGCCAATGTGAGTGAGCAGGGTGGATTTGGACTAAAACCATTGCGAGAAAAAACACTGTCATTTTCCTCTCATTTGCAAATTGCAGCTATTCCTGTGGGATTGAAGGGGAACTGAGGGCCCTCAGTTTTCAGCTGCATTTGTGGAGAGGAGGCTGGAAGTAGTACAAATGCACCAACTTGTAGCTTGTGCTGCAAGCTGCTGATAAATGGTTGGTGTGCTATCCTGGTTAACGGTTGCTCATGTAGAAGTGTGTGTGTGTGTGTGTGTGTGTGAGAGAGAGAGAGAGAGAGAGAAAGAGAGAGAGAGAATGAGACAGATAGACAGACAGACAGAGACAGAGGGATACAGTGGCTTTTTTTTGCCTGTGATTTTAGGAGCTCCAATCCCTAGTTTTCAGTTTCTGTCAACCTGCAGGAGAGAATAACACTCCACCAACCCGCTGTGAATAGGGGCATTCAATGGAATGGAGGGGTGAGGGGGGGAAGAAGATAACTGGTAAATCCCATCTAGGATTCCAAGGTTCAGCTCAATTAAAATTGTCCTATATAAAATAAAGTCTGTCAAATGGTTGGGTTGCAGGCTTTACAGTGATTTTTTTTCCCTTTCCTCTCAGGCTGCGGCTGGTGGCTGTGGCGGACCATGCCAAACTGATCATCTGAGATATAAATGTATGGTTTCAGATGAGCCTCTGGCAAGAAGGAGGGACTCCATGGGGGTTGCTGATTGCTAGAGGGGGCCCCAGGAAGTAATGAGAGAACAATAGATGTTAAGATTGCTGTGGCTGCTGCCAGCAGAGCCCAGCCCAGGGATGAAGTTCCTTCCCGAAAAGGAGGACTTGGGTAAAGGCGAGTACTGAGATGTGAATAGTATCTTTGACTTGGAATTCTCTTTTGGTGCGCCCGGGTCAGAGGCAGAAACTGAGGAAGTCCTTCCTAGCTCTAGCCTCTGTATCCCCTGCTGAATAGCTTACTAAATGACAAGACTGACAACAGGAATCATCTCCAGTAGGGTCTTTCAGATCCAGGAATTTGAGGGTAATGAAATTAGCGTGTGTCCAGGGCTCTACCAACTGGAATTAAATCACTGCAACTGACCTGCAGTGTATTTTTCAGCCCCAAAGAAGCATCAGGGAGGAAGTTCTGGAGATTTATTTCTGAGCCAGAGCAAAAATAATGCTCTCCTAATGCTAAGAAAGATTAAACTAAATTAATATTGACTATGAGCGACATATTTTTTTAAAAAAAATAATTACTGAATGGGGATGGCTTAAAGTGAAGCAGTTATATAACATGCTAACTGAAGGCTAAATCTCCCCTGACCACTATATTCTGGGTATGAGGAAGCGATGTTAGAGGGAGAAGGAAGGGGGAATGCTCTTACTCAAGACTTCTCTGTTACTGACACGGGAACCAACACTCTGAGAGTATAAATTACGTTTGCTGCACCGCGATTGTGAATGAGCAATATTGCACAGGGAGTGACACTGTCCAGGCCATAGTCTGGGAACTGAATGGCATCTGTTGGAAGTCTTTCTTTTCTCCCCAAAGTAACACAGATTGGGTAAAAAAGAAATAGCCCCTTGACTAGAACAGAATGTACATTTGAGCTTGTGGACAAATAAAACACATTTGTAAATGTGTCAGTGTTTTCCTTGCACGCATGGAAACTATGAAGTAAGCTTTTGAAATAGTGTTTTATACATGAGTGCTTATATCCCCCTCCCTCATAATAGAATAGAACTTGGTTCCTAGGGAAAGGTGGTATTATTATAGTAGAGGTTTTGTGTTTTTTTTTTGAAGCAACTGTAACCTACTCTTTTTCAAATGGCATAAAGATAGGTGCCATCACCCTTGGGAATAATCTGTGTAACGGGCTGTGCCTCCAGGCTCACTGTGTTGTAGGAAATTTATCTAACAGATGGTGAGTGGGAATTTTTAAGGGGCATTTTTTTTAAGAACAGAAAGGGAAGGAGTGAAGACACACATGTACTATATTTGAAGATGTTCCATGTATATTATATATGCACAGTCCATATAATTAAGATGCTATCTGCTTGAAGAACAATGGAAAGGTAGTTTTATCAACTTCAACTGCACAGATACTCAGTGTTGAACAAACCACAAGTGTTCTCTTCTCTACCTACAAGTTATAGCTTAGATCCCAAAGACCCTTTATGGATTATACAATGTGCTCTGGGCTCAATCTTATCACTCACTAGTTAAAATTACCCTAAATAAATAATTTATTTTTTTTCTAGGCTTCAGTTTGCTCCTCAGATTTTTGTTTTATCCTCAACAATGTGGCTTCTAAAAGTGTCTAAGCTTGTAGTAGTTTAACTCACAGAAAACTTGGCAGATCTTGACACATCCCCAAGACTTTGCCATCCCAGTTTCTCACGTTAAACTTTCGAGGATTTTGAGGGGGTTTGTCAGAAATACTCTCACCCAGCTATTTTGGTTAATAATAGCCTTCAGATGACCCTCCAATGGCATAAATGGGGGGAGGGCCATGAACTTCCAGATTAGTTAACTGGATGGTCACACAACACAGGGAAGGAGAGGAGAATGGTGAGGTCATGTGATCACTTTTGGTTCTCTGGGGTCTTATTCTGTCTCATGTGACAAGGCTAGACTTCTCTTTGGGAAAGCTGGCCAATAATGACAGCCTGTCATGTGTATGGTCCCAGGGATGAGGCACTTACGTAGCCCAGTTCCAGTGAAGCAGGTGATTGGTTCATGAGTGAGCATCTGGCTTTGTGGACACCAATCAGAAACCTCCCCAGGATGCTTCTCTCAGAGAAGAATAGGAAAGTCCCTTCTTCCTTCTGGAATTACTACTC